TCTGAAAATAGCTAATATCCAATAAGTTTATTCGCATTAATTGAACTTTTTACACTTTCACACTTAGTGCACATTAATTCTTTAGAGGTTCTAAAAATGACGTCATTAGTTCCGTTCGTGTTACGAGTGTAATTGCAATTTTGATACACTTTTTACACTTGATCCCAAGAGTGAAAAGTGTATCAGAATTGCATTTACACTCGTAACACGAACAGAAAACATGACGCTATTTTTAGAACCTCTAAAGAATTAATGTGCACTAAGTGTGAAAGTGTAAAAAATTCAATTAATGTAAATAAACTTATTAGATATTAACTATTTTCAGACAATTCACACTTTCAAAGGACGTCCTAAGAATATTCTGATGACGTTTCTCCGTCCTGAAAACGTCTTCAGAATGTATTTTTGAAAATTTGTGTTGTTTGGAGTGCACTAGTGTGCAACAGGCATTAGGTGTAAAAGTGTAAAAAGTACAAGCAACTCGAACAAACCTATTTTCATTGCAGCATGGAAGTATAGTTTTATCAATTCTCAACGTTGCGACAGAAAATCAAGTTTAGACGTCACCGGTCGATGGTCTTGAGTAGCTTGTGTGCATCGTGACCATAGATATCTCTCTTTCAAAAAAGCCAAGATGTCGAAGAGAGGTAAGCCTATGTTGAGATCTATGAAAAATCCAAAGAAATCGACGTTAATATTATGTACTATTTTGAACGAAACGATAAAAAGGAAAGAAATATGTTCGATTCGCGCCGCAAAATCATACGTTATCGTATTAATGACAATCGCGGCAGAAGGATGGTTGCGCTAATGCTGTTAGTTTAACGTGATATTGTTTTTTTTAGGACGTGGTGGATCAGCCGGAGCCAAATTCAGGATATCTTTGGGTCTACCAGTAGGTGCAGTTATTAATTGCGCAGATAATACTGGTATGTTTAAGAAAAGAAAAAAAATGATACTTAACCTCAAAAGAAAATAGTGTGAACAAAGCACATGGCGAAATATCGTGAACGATTGTCAGCCACAATATTTCGTATTTCGTTATGCGTCTTTTGATTTCTCGATTATTCTCACTAAATTGTACTGTGTAACAGGTCTATAAAACTGATTTGTTAAAGGTGCAGTTTCTCGCTAACTTGTGCATTAATATTTCTTATAACCTCTATTAGTATTTATAATTACTGATTCATGAATTAAAAAAGTCTCTCTCCCTCTGTATATATATAAGCACATAAAAATATTTAATTTCCAAAAAGTAAAACTATACATTATGTTATACTAAAATCATATCTGGATAAATACATAATCTCGAAAAAAATTTTATTTATGTGTATATATATATATATATAATGTATGTAATAAATAATTTCAGATTTTTCAAGTAGATAATATTTAGATTTGTTATTTAGTAGTTGTGTAAGATTGTCACCTTTTTTGTTTGTATAAATTAGAAAATTTTGTTGTAACATGAAATATCCTATTTCAGATACTAATGACTATTTCTCTCAACATTAATTAAATCTTAATCTAAGTTTGTATGAAAAGAGTTTAAATTTAAGTTAACATATAATAGATGTTGGTAGAAAAAGGTATAAAAAAACACAAGTGTGAAAAAATTTTGTTCTATATAAAATAAATTATGTTTGTATAATATATGATTTTGAAAAATTTTAATTCATATATATTGTATTATATAATCAATAATTTTGAATTTTTAAGGTAAAAAAAAATGTATTTTTTTCAATTTTATACAGTATTGTGCAATTTTATGAAACAGTGTATTATACACTGTTTGATTAGTGATCTGCTATTCTTCACATACATAGTTTTATAAAATTATGATGATAAATGTTTCATTATTTTAACCTATATTATATCTAAGAATTAAAGAAAATAATTCATGTGCTATAAATATAATTGTTACTTAACTTCAACAATGAAATGTGCATTCTTTTAATAATGTGATTATTCTTTCAGGTGCCAAAAATCTGTATGTCATTGCAGTACAGGGAATTAAGGGCAGGTTGAACCGTCTTCCAGCGGCTGGTTCTGGTGATATGATCGTAGCCACTGTGAAGAAGGGAAAACCTGAGCTCAGGAAAAAGGGTAAATCCATATTTTTTTCTTTATTTTTTATTTTTAAGATTCTTGATCAATTGTCACAAAATTCTTGATTAATAACATCAAAAGCGAGAAAACATACTCAAAATTCTTGTAATATGTTGAAATTAAAAAACATGTTTATAAAGTGACCCTCAATCAATTAAGCATATTTGTAAGATATTCTGAGAACTTTGCTTTTGTTCTAATGATAAAATGACTAAAATTAACGTGACAACTTTTTTTTAGTCTACCGTTCCTCATGATTTTGTCATACTAATTTTACAGTCATTTATTAATTGTTCAAAGTAAAATTAAAGTTTTTAGAATATCTTACAAATTTTCTCAATCACAAGTGTCATTTTATAAGGATAACCTTTAATTTCGACGTATTCCACAAGAATTTTAGGCACGTTTTCTCGCTTCTAACGTCATTAATCAAGATAGTTGTGATGCATAGGAGTTTTAATCAAATCCTCGCCTTCTTCTCGGTTTGTTTTAAGAAGTTCAGATGATATGATCGATGTATCGTTACAGTGATGCCGGCGGTCGTGATACGACAACGGAAACCGTTTCGCAGGAAGGATGGGGTATTTATATACTTCGAGGACAATGCCGGTGTAATAGTCAACAACAAAGGTGAAATGAAAGGATCGGCTATTACGGGACCTGTTGCGAAGGAATGTGCAGATTTGTGGCCAAGGATCGCATCTAACGCCAGCAGCATAGCATAATCCATTCTGTCTAATTCTATTGTCCTTTACAAAATAAATCTGAGCATTTGTTCAGTATATTTTTTTATATGTTCAGCACATCCCTCAAGAACCTAATAAGTCTAATTACAATATATCGAATATAATTTAAAACATTCCGCGATATCAACTATTAATTGCAATATGAACATAGCAATAAAATCGGTCATTCTCATGATGGAGTTTTTCTTGACATTACAAACTAAACATAAATACATGTATTATTTGTGACCAATCTCAACGAACGAGAATACCGTTATAGCGTTGAGGGTCGCCAAGAAACGCGATTTCGTTGATCCGTAATTCCATATGCGATTTTCGAGCGGACACGAATTTCGCTTTTGTATAATCATGTTGGCTAAGTAGATTGCGATTTCACGTTGCGATGTCAGCAAATATATTCGTCGCACGCGTAAAAATTGAAATAGTTACGCGCGCAAGCAAGCAAGGAGAGAAAAAAGAGGAACAGAGAGAGAGAGAAAAAAAGAGGAACAGAGAGAGAGAGAGAAAGAGAAACGGTATAGCGCTTCATAAAATCAAGGTTGGCGCAGATTGCGATTTCAAAAGGACTCGCGACGAAGACGCGTATTCTTAGCCGGCGTCGTGTCATCATCGCCGCAGACCTTTTCTTATCCTCTCTCCCTTTCGCCCGCGCAAACACATGTACTACAAGTGCATGTACGCACGTACAATAGGAGACATCGCGTCGCGCGATCGCGGTTGGCTAGTCGGCCAGTCAGCCAGCCCAGTGTTGCCATGTATCAGGAAATTTCCCGAGATACAAGGAAATTTAAAGAATTGCCCGGAAAACAGGATTTTAGTTAAAATCTATTGAAATTCTTAAACTTTTCCAATATTTAAGGAAAAATATAAGAAAATTTTTTTAATTTTTCAAATACAAAAGAAGATACAGCACAATAAACAAATATAAACTGTGCAAGAAGTTCAGCTAAAAAGAACAAACCTAAAAGCTTATATTATATATATATATATATATATATATATATATATATATATATATATATCAACGGAAGATTCCGATTGGACATCAAACGCTTATCAAACGTTCTAAAAACGTTAAAAATCTAGTCCTATTATTATAACCAGAAACTCTGTTTGATCTTACCAAACGCACTCAGTCATATACGTCTTGTTAATATAATAAATTTTTCTCAGTGTTCTGATATAATAAATATAATGTATGTTGGCTTCTGATTATAATGTATGGTAGTTAATATAATAAATTATATTTGTAATACAAAATTTTGTTTACAAAATAAGAAATAAACAATAACATTTATAAAAGTTAAATTAAGTATAATTTTATTCTAACCCCAAAAATCCAACTGAAAGTTTTTCTAATAAACAAATGTGATCTGATCTTAATATAAATTGTTTTTGGTTATAACTCGTTATTAGGCCTGTTCTTTTCGGCTAAACTGGCTGTACTAATTCAAAGTTTATCTTTTTTTCTTTACATTGGAAGAAGAAAGATAAATTTTGAACTAATGCAGTTCAGCTAAAAAGAATAGACCTATTATAATAATAATATACATATTTGTGGAGTGGGTACTGTTTGATTACATTATGGTTGGAACCCATTCACAGCGCTCATATAGCAGAAAATTTCTAGACACCGGCCGCCGTGAGTGGCTGTGTCCAATTGGGATCTTCCCTATTATTTTTTTTTAGAAAATAAAATAATGTTTGTTTTTATACTCCAGTTTGCGATTTTAGTTACTAAATACAAAATAAAAAAAATAATTTCAAGGAATTTTTCCTGTATCTCAGGAATTTTGCGATTTTTTTTTCAGGAATTTCTCGGGAAATTTTACTAGAAATTCTGCAGAAATTATTTTTATCAATCTGGCAACATTGCAGCCAGCCACGCAGTAGTCCACCTGGGTCCATCATCGGCAGTCCATGCGCAACCTCGTCACACTACGTCCGCTACGTTCAGAGTGTGTACTTGTTGCTTACGCGTGGTGCAGTTCACGGGCGCTGCTAACCACGGGCCAGGCTAGCAGCTAACCAGCCAGCCAGCCAGTTAGTCGGACAGACTGACAGACAGACAGACAGAGACGAGGGAAGGAAGCAAGGTGGGAAGAGAGAAGCGGCCGGTCGTCGACAGAGAAAGAAGAGTGGAGAGAAAGGAGACGCACGAGACGCACACCGGTGTCGCCCGACGACTCTTCGCAACGTGCTTCTTGTTGCTCGCGTGGACTTCACGAGCCCCCCGTAAGCCGGTGAGAGCGCGTTCCGTTCACGATTAGCATATGCCGCCGCCTCCTAGTGACCGCTGCGTATCGTGTCTCAGTGTCGCCATGCTCGATCGTCGTGCGTTCACGGAGTTCGCTGTCAGCATTATTTAGAGCTACAGCCCAGATAGTACAGGATGTCCTATGGACATCCATTTTATGTCTATTTTACGTTCGTACGTCCATGGACATGCAATGGACGTCCATAAGATATCCGATTTTGGACATCCGTTAATGTCCATAATTTGGATGTCCATGAGATATCCGATCTTGGACATAAATATCTTAAGTATAAAATTCGACTATAGGCATGTTGAGAATGCGCTATCAACGCTACATATCATTCTATCCCCAGGCAACAACGTCACATCATTTTCACGTCGATAAATAGTGATTATCAGTTTTAAACTAATTATGTAACCAATAACTGACCAAAAACGTGATAATTTTGACGTGTAATAACATCATTTAAAGACGTCTGTAATACGTTTTTGAGAGGTTATTTTTAATCAGCTGTTCGATAAGTAAAGAGTGTGATAGATATTTATCTAATGTTCATTTATATCAACTGGTGTATGTAACCAACAGATTATTATTTATACACGTTATTTATTTTTTATTTGCTTGCATCTCAAGCATTTGACTTTTAAGGAATAAACCTTATAGAACTTGTCCTACCATTTCTTACTTACAAGCATTGCATTGTTGCAATTATCCAGTTAGTAGGATGATGTTCCAAGATATGTTAATGAGAAAATGTTGATCCAGATAGCACAGAGATGAATAGAAATTCATAAAGAATTCATTTTAAAGAAGATCTTACCTCATTAGCTAAGGGTTAAATTAACAATAAAAGTACAAAAAATATAATTAAAATTAAATGATTTTATTACATCATATTATCAGAAAATTATATTACTGTCTTAATTACAACATATATAGACAAAATGTAAGACGTTTATTTTTTATATCGATAGATGAAGTGATGTGTCTAAAGCAACAGATTCATAATCGAGAAATACCTTGCGGATCCAAGTTCGAGTTCCACCAGTGCCAGTGAGAATTTTTAAATGTGATGTAACATTGGAATCAAGTAATTTAAAATTTTCAAGTAAAATCAGTGAACGCTGTGACACTTACGAATAGTTTCTATTAGAAAATTGAACCGAATAAGAATATTCGGTTTAACATACGTCATTTTTATGTCTCTTTATGACGTCATTTTCACTTATTATGACGTTTTATTATGACGTCGGTGGGCTGTGACTTATTCCGGTTATTTTCAGGTCATTATTACGTGATTATAAGAGGATAATTGACGTCACGAATTATCAAAAACTGATATGAAAATCACGTCACGTGTTGCCTGGGATAGACGTCCAAAATAGGTACAGAAACCGTCTTATTTCAGACATTTTATGGATGTTTAAATTTGTGTCAAACATATATCCTATGGATGTATATCGGTCCATATGCTATCTGGGATGTTGACATTTCATAATAAATATAAAAATTAACTTTGAATTTTAATGTATTTTTGTTCATAAACCTCTTCTTCGTATATTTTTAAATATCTATTTTGAAAGCTATGAATGGTAGAACACTAAAAATAATATCCAGTGTAGGTCCTTTTTTGAATATTCCAAGGACGTCCAAAATAGGTAAAAATGGACATCCTATGAACGTTCACCGGATGTCTGTTGGGCTTTATTCGGACGTCGTATGGACGTCCCAAAATCCAAACGTTCGCTGGATGTTCATAAAACGTCCATGTGCTATCTGGTTGTTCGCGGAGCTACAAGATAGCGCTAACAAACGCTATCATGATGTTATTAGTGATAGCGTTCTACGTTATAATTGCGCGCTATCAACGCTATTCCTTCTGAGGTAGTGCATTAGTAGCGTTAGCGTTCGGTAAGCTTCGCGAACATTGTCAGTAGCATAGATAGTATTTATATGGCGGTTAATCCGTTATATATTTAATATTTTACATAGTTCTAATTGATATAAAAAGTGGCATAATGACAACAGCAACAACGAACAGTTATGTAGAAATTACTCTTCACGTTGCAGTAAGTGGAGAAGAATTTCATATAACACTGTCTCGAGCTGATGCTCTCAAAGCATAAAACAGTAAGTTGTCGTTGTTATTGTCGTCAAATTTTTTTTATTTCATTTCGGTTAATTTAGAATGAATCTGTTAACCATTTTATCTATTATTTGTAATCATACATTGCATCTGTATATGTGTGTGTGTTCCTCATTTTAAAATAATTTTTCATTGACTTTAAATAAAATATAGATATGTTGAAAAGTTTGCAATTATAATGCTTTTAAACATTTAAACAATTATAATGTTTTTAAACATATTCATAATGCTGTTTTTAATTTTAAAGTGTCTCTGCTTTTTACCCTATAATTGCATTCATTTTCTTCTCTTCCTGCTTCACTAAAATGTTACAATTAATTACTTGTAGATATGGCTTTTGCAACAACTTTATTAAACGTTTCACGTAAAAAATGCATGAGCACTGTTGCATGTTTTAGTGAGAATCTTATTAATATTGTTTATGGTTACGGTCATACATTAATTGTTATACATTAATTGTTTAATATGTATATAAAACAATATGTTCCCAAAATTGGCTTGATTATTATGCCGCTTTCTCTTTAATTTTGATTGCAACTGTAGCGCAGCGCTACTGCTGTTCATGGAGCTCACTATCATTATCGCGCTATTAGCTCCACGAACACTTTAGTAGCGTTTGCGTTGGTAGCGCGATAGCGAGCTCCCTAAACGCACCCGTCTATGGTGCGACGCAGCCACCAACCTGGGAGCTTATTTTCTCTGATTGGGTGAAAATGACGAAAGTGAGCAACTCGCCTGATTACAATTAATCTCACCTCGCGAAAATACGAGATTATTCGCGTGAACGAACTCGACACGAAATTTCATGGCGAAAAGATGAAATCGAGAAACAGTAATGGAAAGAACGAGGTTATTCCGTACAATGGAGAATTTAATGGTAATATTAGTTATAATATTAGTCAGAATAATGTAATGCAGAGTATAAAAAGAAGATTACCTAGGTAAAACACAAAGTCATATAAAAGTCAAAATGACGTCAAATGATATAAAAATAACGTCAAAAGATACCATTTTGACGTCAAATGATATCTTTCATGACAATTTCATGACATTGATGTCAAAATGATATAATCTTGACATCAAAATAATTTTGTGTTCTACTTGGATACGGGATACCTCCCCAAACCTTTTTTCTGTTTGTTATGTTCATTGTTCTCTCTCTCTCTCTCTCTCGCTCTCTTTTTGTAGCCTTTTTATAAAAATTATGTATTATAATAAATTTTAAGCATATTTAACTTCACATTTTTAATATAGCATTACTCTCTTTTTCTCCCACATAATATTTATATATATTTATATATTTATATTTATTTATTTACTTCTATTATACTGACATTGATGGAAGTCAGTGGAGTTTGAAACATGTGATGACCGTTGATATGTTTGTAGTTTTTTTTGACAATTCAATCTTCCTTGCAACGATTTTTTGTAAACTAATAATGTAATAATTCGGCATATTCCTTTTCCTCATAGTCGTTTTTTTCTTTGCCGTTGTCGGGATATTTATTTTGTAGCATCGCCTTATTCTGGATTCGCCTATATCGGGTGCACTATAGGCGGACCTTTTTCGTGAAAATGTGAGATCACTAGACCGGGAATACTTAGTTATTTTCACTTGACAGTTCCATAATTAAATGACCAAAGTCACATAAAATGATAATACGAAAAGTGAATAAATTCATCAAAGAACCGTAATAGGCCCCCTGGATCGAGCGGCGGCCGATAAAAGAGAGAGAAAGAGAATTCCCTCCCGGCAGTCTCGCGCGCGCCTCATGAGGGAACTGGCAGCGATTGTCTTTCTAACCTAAATTCTAATTTTTGTCATTGCTCGGCTCGCGGAAGCGGAACGGTGGCAGAGGATGGCGAAAAAGACGGAGGAAGGAGCAGAGAGAGAGAGAGAGAGAGAGAGAGAGGCTATATCGCATTCTTCTCTCTCTGTCTCTCTTGTCCCCGCTCTATCCACCTCACTCTTCTATGTCCTTGCCATCGCCGAGTTTTAGACAGCTAAAAATACAGTTTTTGGAGCGGCTGCGCGAGATCCCGCGTCGCGACAATTTCGGCGCCCGCGTCGGCTGTGCTCGTTTCCGCTTCTCGCGAAGGTCTCCCACCGGCCGCGAACGCGCGCGCGATGAGCCTTCGCAGAAATCCTTCGCTCCCTCCAAGAACTCCCGCGCAATTCCGTTTTTTCTCTTTTTCGTTTCGCGGGCAAGAATTCTTGCGCAAGAACGACTCGAGTCGAGGTTTACCGTCGCGAATCGTTGGGCACGCGCTCCTTAGGCGCGTAATGTCGCATTTTTTTGTAAGAACAATTGAGCGAGTACGTGCTCGAGATTCGAAAAAAGAGAAAGGACGGGCAAATCGCGAGAATGTACAGAAAATGCAGCTGATCAGGACCCGGACACTCGCGCGTTTAGTGTTGGAAAAAATATGACTTCTATCATATCTAGATAAGATACAGTTATGATTACTTATCTAGATAAATAGACAAATGAGACAGTAAACTTATATTTTCCTTTAGATATAGATATAAAAAAGACTTTTATCTAGCTACAAATTTTCTATATCTTAGATAAATTTTACTAGAAAAATTATCGTATTTGTTTACAAAATAATAGAGAATTTTTTTTATTTACACCCAGTTTTATAAGTCTACTTATATATGAACGTTGTTACAATTAAGTTCGGACATCTTGGATAATGAAGAATAATGTTGACGTTATCTTCAAGATTAAGTAATAACTACTTAATAAGTTACAAATTAAATTAAAAAATAAATAACTTTTAACTTAATTTTAAATGAATCAATTTTTATTTAATCAAGTTATTTTAAAATCCTTTA